CTTTGATGTGAAAGCGTAACACTGAATTATTGTCTTAATAATATTAATTATCCTTAAAAGAAGAAAAAATGAATAAAATCCAATTTTGACTAATAGGTCCGTTAAATGATGAACAAATCTGTATGCATTTACTCATGTAAACCGAGGTATTGTGTATTGGTACTTATTGGATATAGAATAGATTTGCTTCTCTTTGTTCCTACAGACAGAATTTGATATTTTTACATTACTAAAACTGAAGGAAGAGAAAAAAAAGACTTTCCCCAGGATAATCAAGTGGGGGGGGGGGGGGGGGGGGGGCATAACATACTGTTTTTCAGTGCAATAAAGTTACATAGTGTCTACTTTTCGTTGCCAAAGAGGTATTTCCATGGGTTTGCCTTGGTATCGTGTTCATAACGTCGTATTGAATGATCCCGGTCGTTTGCTGTCTGTTCATATAATGCATACAACTTTGGTTGCTGGTTGGGCCGGTTCGATGGCTCTATATGAATTAGCGATTTTTGATCCTTCTGACCCCGTTTTTGATCCAATGTGGAGACAAGGTATGTTTGTTATACCTTTCATGACTCGTTTAGGAATAACCAATTCATGGGGTGGTTGGAATATTACCGGAGGAACTATAACGAATCCGGGTATTTGGAGTTATGAAGGTGTGGCTAGGGCGCATATTGTGTTTTCCGGCTTGTGCTTCTTGGAAGCTATATGGCATTGGGTGTATTGGGATCTAGAAATATTTTGCGATGAACGAACAGGAAAGCCCTCTTTGGATTTGCCTAAGATTTTTGGAATTCATTTATTTCTTTCAGGGGTGGCTTGTTTTGGGTTTAGTGCTTTTCATGTAACTGGCTTATTTGGTCCTGGAATATGGGTGTCCGATCCTTATGGACTAACTGGAAAGGTACAAGTTGTAAATCCAGCGTGGGGTGTGGAAGGTTTTGATCCTTTTGTTCCGGGAGGAATAGCTTCTCATCTTATTGCAGCAGGAACATTGGGCATATTAACGGGCCTATTCCATCTTAGTGTCCGTCCACCTCAACGTCTATACAAAGGATTACGTAAGGGAAATATTGAAACTGTCCTTTCCAGTAGTATTGCTGCTGTCTTTTTTGCAGCTTTTGTTGTTGCTGGAACTATGTGGTATGGTTCAGCAACTACGTCGATTGAACTATTTGGTCCCACTCGTTATCAATGGGATCAAGGATATTTCTAGGAAGAAATATATAGAGGAGTTGGTGTCGGATTAGCTGAAAATCAAAGTTTATCTGAAGCTTGGTCTAAAATTCCTGAAAAATTGACTTTTTATGATTATATCGGAAATAATCCGGCAAAAGGTGGATTGTTCCGAACAGGCTCAATGGACAATGGGGGACGGAATAGCAGTTGGGTGGTTAGGACATCCTATCTTTAGAGATAAAGAAGGACAAGAACTTTTTGTACGTCGTATGCCTACTTTTTTTTGAAACATTTCCAGTTGTTTTGGTAGACGGAGACAGAATTGTTAGAGCGGATGTTCGTTTTCGAAGAGCCGAATCAAAGTATAGAGTTGAACAAGTAGGGGTAACGGTTGAGTTTTATGGTGGCGAACTAAATGGATTCGGTTATAGTGATCCTACTACTGTGAAAAAATATGCTAGACGCGCTCAATTAGGTGAAAATTTTGAATTAGATCGTGCTACTTTGAAATTAGACGGTGTTTTTCGTAGTAGTCCAAGGGGTTGTTAACTTTTGAACATGCTTCGTTTGCTCTGCTTTTCTTCTTCGGACACATTTGGCATGGTGCTAGGACCTTGTTCAGAGACGTTTTTGCTGGTATTGATCCAGATTTAGATGCTCAAGTGGAATTTGGAGCATTTCAAAAACTAGGAGATCCAACTACAAAAAGATAAGTTGTTTTGATACGAGATTTCTCTGTTATTTTTCGCTTCTATTTTCTTTTTTTAATTTCACTTTGAAATAAGATACCGGAGACATTTCAAATCTTGCTCTTTTTTATATTTTCTACAGGGAATATATAGAAAATGATCCTAAATAAACAAGTATGGAAGCTATAATTGTAAACCACGATCGAATCTATGAAAGCATTGGTTTATACATTCTTCTTAGTCTCGACTCTAGGAATAATTTTTTTCGCTATCTTTTTTCGAGAACCGCCTAAAGTTCCAACTAAAAAATAAAAAGATGAAATGATTTTTCATTAGCTTAAGTCGTAATTGAAGTAATGAGTCTCCCATATAAATATATATGGGAGGCTCATTACTTCAACTAGTTTCTGTGTTCCTCAAAAGGATCTCTTAGTTGTTGAGAGGGTTGCCCAAAAGCAGTATATAAGGCATACCCAGTAAAACTTACAAGTAAACCAGATATAAAGATGGCGACTAGAGTTGTTGTTTCCATTATTCTATAATTTCAAGACCCCAATGGATCTATGATAAGATCATTTATTTACAACGGAATGGTATACAAAGTCAACCAAGCTCAATTAATACAAAATAGGATTTATGGCTACACAAAGCGTTGAAGGTAGTTCTAGATCTCGTCCAAGACGAACTGGTGCACGGTCGTTATTGAAACCATTGAATTCGGAATATGGTAAAGTAGCTCCTGGATGGGGAACTATTCCTTTGATGGGTGTCGCAATGGCTTTATTTGCGATATTCCTATCTATTATTTTGGAGATTTATAATTCTTCAGGTTTACTGGATGAGATTTCAATGAATTAGATTTACTAGAAGTGCTAAGTCTTAGCTTTTCAATATAAAAGTAGGTCTCGGATTTTTTTTATAGCCCACTCCAATTCTATTTTATTTTGGTAGTTCGATAGTGGAATTTTTTCTGTATTTCTGGAATATGAGTGTGCGACTTGTTAGGCTGGATCCTATTGATAATACAGAGAATGGGTCTCTCATCTTGATAGAGATGGTTTTTTACTTCGTCGGATCTTTATTCTAGTATCTGGAGCACGAAATATATGAAATAGATTACTAAGTATTAGAACTATGATTCATATTTAATATTCAGATCGCGCGACCGAACTCAAAAGAATTTCAAAGAATTCGAAGATACAAATTGAAAGATTTTTCTTCTTTCAATTCTTTGTCTATACTTATTTTGATCAAAGAACAAACCCTTCTTTTCTTTTTATTTTTAGTCATTATTCATTGAATAAGTGATGATACAATGATTCTTACTCAGGGAATCTTTGGACTACTTATATTTTATAGGTTTTACTGAATCATCATGGTTCTAGTATGAATCTGTGGTTTTAATCGATTTATAGGATCTTAACAAGAAAAATCATATCATAATAACGAAAACGAGGGTAAGGCTACTTACACATTCCATACAAATAAAAAAAATCAAGCAAAAAATGGGTAACTAGAATATTCAAGAGGCCTGTAATGATTCAAAATGTGAAATCTTATTCAAATGCATAAAGCAGTGTATTCCAATATTTACTTATTTCTTCATTTGTTTCAGATAATGTTGATTCTGTGACTGCTTTGGAAGGGTGTTTCACTATGTTGAATCTGGGTGGAGATGAGATTGAGACTGAAAATGATTTGGCAGGTAATGATTTTATTTGTTACTACGATTAATTGCTTGGTTAAGTTTCAATGGAATAATAATTGGGATTCTTTTCTTTATCTTGGGCAGAAGATACAAATGGGATTGGGAGGCCTTATCTTGATTGAGCTTGACTAGGATTGTTGGGAACTTGCTGCTGCCTGCTGCTGTGTTGTGTTGTGTTGCTGCTACTGTGATTCGTTGTTGGTGCTGCTGCTGCTTGCTACTGGTCTGTTCATGTTTTTGTTGGCCTGTTGCTGCTGTATTGCTGTTGGAGTGTTGCTGGACTGCTACTGGTATGATGGTCTACTACTACGGGAGTGTTGTTGTTGGTCTGTTCGTGTTGTTGCTGCTTTATTTTTCTTACTTTTAATGTTGTTTGATTGTTGAGAGTAGACTTTTATGGATGTTGATGGATCATGGATCATGGATAATGGATGTTGCTTTGATGGATCATGGTTATAACTTAAAAGTTTGAACGATGCAGTTTGCTAGTTTCAATTTCAATGAAGTTCAATGGTTTTCTTTCAGTTTCATTCTGGTTTTCAAATTTTAGTTTTTATATGTGTGTAGCGGGTAAAACTCGACCAACCAGGTAATATCCAAACCCGGACGGATACGGGGATAGATAGTGATTTAGTATCCATTGGCCATTCCGGACGGGTACGGGTAATACCCGTTTATAACTACGGGTGGGGCTCGGGGAGCTACTACCCGGCCCCATACCCACCTGTTGCCATGCCTAGGGACGGGTAATACCCGCGCGGGTACAGTGTGGGGTGGGGCGGGTCGATCCACTCTTACATGCTCTATGAAAAAATACACGCAAAATTTACTTTTTACGATAAAATGAAGGAGAAAACACTTTATGAATGAAAAATAATGATAATCAAACGAGGAATTAAGTCTAATTGAAAGGTCGAGTTTAACTAGTTGAAGAAAAGTCAAAATATGAGAAATATGAATAGATATTATAAGAAATTGAGGTTAAATGAGCCAAAAAAGGAATGAGCACTGCAGATCAAGTCAGTTAATATCCAGTAGACTGATTCAAATTGTCATCACTAAATAGTAAATACCATCCTAAACACATCTAAATTTTATTACTTGTGTGTTTTCTGCAACTAGGAGCCGTAGCCAAACTGCCCCCAATAAGTATTGCTCTCCATCCACCATCTCTCAAAACCAATGCTGTCAAAGCCGAGCCGGAGTATGACCCGGTAACGTGAACGGCTCGGTCATTAGTGGTCCAGCCGGCATTAGACCGTTTAAAAACCGTTTGAGAACCGGTACATTATAAACAATATAATATCATAGTAGAACAGACATAAAGTAATAATTCAATGATTTAATGAGTAAAAATGATAATTACAGGTACCATTTAAGAATTCTACACAACATATATATATACAGCAACTAAAAAAATCCTAACCTAATCCTAAGCGACAACGCCGCTTCCCCACCCATCACTCTCCTTCCTTCCGCTTCCCCATCCTCCCTCCCTCTCTCCTTCCTCCTCTCCCACCGCCGCACCTATTTTCATTTTTCAGCCACTATAGCCTTCTGCAATTCCTCAAAAATCCATCACCTCATCTTTTCTTAACCCGTAAATGCTCTTCCTCGTCCCAATCCGTGAAATGGCTCGGATTCAATCCAAGCCTCTGGTGAGACAGGGCAGCTTAGCGGGGAGCTGCTTGCGACGGTGGCGAAGGGATGGAAGCGTCGGGAGCGGGGAGCTGCTTGCGACGGTGGCGACGGGATGGAAGTGCCGGGAGCGAGGAGCTGCTTGCTACAACAAGGACTGGCGATGGCGATGGCGACTGGGGATGGCGATGCCGTCGGGAAGCGCCGATGCCGGGACAAGAGGTGTTGACGGCCGATTCCACGATTGGCCTTTTCTATTTTTTTTAGGGTAAATCAAACGGCCGAACCGCGCGACCGGCTCGAGCGGCTCGAGCGGTTAACCGCTTCGGCCGCTCGCCGACCGCTGTATAAAATCGTGGCGGTTAAATAGCTGATCCGAGCCGGTTTTACGGCCAGGTGGCGGCTTTGGTGGTCCGGCCGGCCGGCTCGGTTCGGCTTTGACAGCACTGCTCGAAACTCATATGGCCTGGTTTTGAATGAAATTGGAGAATTGAGTGGTTGCATTTCCCTCGCTCCCCATAGTTGCCACTCCTTTTTTTCTTGTATCCTCTCTCCGTTCTTTTCCTTTTTGTTCACATGGGAAGTGGAGGGAAGTAGGAAAGAGCTGTCACGTGCCAATGGTTATTTTCCATCTTTCTAACTGTTTAATAATAAAAATAAATTTAAAAAAGGGAAATGAGGTGTTGCAGATAATAACCATGATGATGCTTCTGCTGCTGCTAGTTGAAACGTAATTAAGGCTTGATCATCAAGCAAAATTAGGTAAAACATTTGATTAGTTAGATGGCCGAGCAGAGAAAGGAATTTGCTAAAACACTAATCTATTTGTGGTTAGCGCGGCAGTTTCAAATCAAAGGCCAATAGTAATCACACACAGCAAATTAATATCTCATCCCAAAAAAAAACGAAAGCAACTCTGCAACCTAACCAACGGCAGCCGGAGCCATTAACTAACCCACCGGCCAAGGCAACCATGAACGTAATTATTATTATTATTATTATCTCATATTCTATATTTCTCTTTTAGAATATTCTGAGTTAGGAGAGAGAAGAAAAAGAGAGCGAAAGTGGAGTGTGAGCGAGAAAGAGAGAAAAAACAGAGTCTTGACCCGAAAGGTTAAAAGAAGAAAAATTAGAACAGAACAGAACAGAACAGAAGAGGGTCCTTAAATTATCTCTTCTTCTTCTCGCCTTCCAACTCCCAGGGAAGGGATTCGGCTGGTCCTCCTTATTTCTTCCTCCAAATTCTCCTTCCTATTTAGTTTCCTCCTCCCCCCTGTTTTCCCGGCTCTGTTTCGGTCGCTTCAAATCTATTTGGGTGTTCCTTCCTTCCTTCCGCCAAGACAATACAACCCCTGCCTGCTTTTGCTTTTGCTCCAGGTGATTCATGCATTTTGATTTCCAATTTTGGAGATGCATTGTTTTACCGCCTTCGTTCCTTGGCGCCAATTTCCAGTCCTCGGATTCCTTTGTTCTGTTGGTGGGTTGCTTTGAATCCCAGTTTTGATCGTGTTTCCTACAACGAATTTGCATGTCCCATTATTGCTCCGATCTGGGTTCCAATGCAAGTTCCACCAGCCCGGCTATTGATGCTTCAATTTTTATTTTTTTTTTTCTTTTCTGAATTTCGTTTTGTCCTCCTTGAGCTTGGTTAAGTTCCTAAGTTTGACCCCAAAAAAGATTTCCTGTGTTTTGCTTCCTCCTGGCAGGGTTGCATTTGAATTCAACGCCATCGAAACTGGCAAACAGCGGAAGTAGAGGGCGGATAACCCCCAGCTAAAGGCCTTTTTTTCCCAGATTTTGGGGAGAGGTGGCCGCTGCCTGCGGAGGAGGACTGACTGACTGACTCCATCGCATCGCACGCACATGGAATTTGGCACAACCCTTCACCCACAATTCACAGACATTCCCCCTTACAGCCTCTGAAATTCTCAGTCCTCACAGGTCTCTCTCCCTCCCTCCCTGTTTCATTATTTTACGAATTCCAGCCATTTTTTTCTTGGGTTTTTATTTTTCACTTCCTTTTGGAAATGCGGGCGGTAACATGATTGTGAGAAGAGTTGCTTGACAGTCTGTAACAATGGCGGGGACCCATATCTTGTGTCAGTCTCTCTTCCGCCATTTATTAATTGAATCGCTGGGTTTGACCCTCCCCATTCCAAGCATTTTCCCCTTATGCTTAAAAACTGCAACCACCAATTATTTAACATGGTCTTGATGATACAGACAAAAGAAAGCCGACCAAAAGTGTCGGTGAATTTCACCCCCATAATTCCTTTCCATCATTCACGTCATTAATTACATAATTAACATATGGTAAATGGTTGGTTGTGTGGTCGTTAATGGTTCGGTTGTCATTATGCTTTCTTTCTCACTAGTCAACCAAAAAAGCAATAGGACAAGAGAGGGACTGACTAGCTGTGATTATCGCAGAAGGAAGGGTGAGACACAGATCGCGTAAGATGGGTGCAGCTGAAGATGAAGAGTCGATGCAGTCAGCAAAGGATGGAGAAGAGAAGATTTTGGTCTCGGTTCGAGTCAGGCCCATCAATGACAAGGAAGCTTCAAGGCATGATGTGTCCGACTGGGAATGCATCAACGACACCACTGTCATTTACAGAAACAATCTCTCCCTCTCCGAGCGCTCAATGTACCCTTCTGCTTATACCTTTGGTAAGCCCCCGGCCCACTCTCTTTTGCTTCCGAGAGCTACAAAACTTGAATCCTAAATCCCAGTTTTAGCAATGCCCATTTGTTTTTTGACGCTGTGCAACTGTTGGGTCGTGCTCTTCTTTGATATTGGCTGCTGCAGACAAAGTGTTTGGTCCCGATTGTCCAACAACTCAGGTCTATAGAGACGGAGCCAAAGCAGTTGCTCTCTCTGTCGTCAGCGGTATAAATTGTGAGTATGGCTTCTTGAGCTTGTTTTTTATTTGGGAAATCCTTGATCTTGAAGAACTGTAGCAATGTTTTTCTGCATTTTTTTTCTCTTTCGTTGATGAATCTGTGTTTTTTTCTTGTTTTTTTTCAAGCGAGTGTGTTTGCTTATGGACAAACGAGCAGTGGAAAGACATACACAATGCGGGGCATCACCCATTCTACTGTGGCTGATATATATGACTATGTAGCCAGGGTAATTGTTGTCATCATCCTACATATGCCATGTTTGTTAACTGATTAGTGAAAGATTTCTTTGTTTCCCTCCATCAGCACAAGGAAAGAGAGTTTATCATGAAGTTCTCTGCCATGGAGATTTACAATGAATCTGTCAGGGACCTGCTTAGTGCGGATACAACTCCGCTTCGACTTCTAGACGATCCAGAGGTGATTATTCAAATTTGTCATATAATCCAGTAAACAGCTTGTTAATTTAATTGTCAGAGCTTAATGGCGGCAATTCTTTCTATTTTTCTATGTAAACAGAGGGGGACTGTTGTCGAGAAGTTGATTGAGGAGACCTTAGGGGACTGGAATCATTTTCAAGAACTCATGTCCATCTGTGAAGGTAGGCAGGCTGGAGGGTCTCTTTAGTACACGTTTTGGCGCGCCATGAAATGAAGCTTAAGCGCTTGAACCATGCATGTTTTTAAACTTGTCTTATGATATATGCTTTTGCAGCTCAGAGACAAATAGGGGAGACTTCCCTCAACGAGACCAGCTCTAGATCTCATCAGATTTTGAGGCTGGTAGGATCATCTAGTCGTTTCTCTTCCAAGTTCTAAGCTGTAACTAGTTCATATATTATATGCTGAAATGAAATGCGCTTACTGGTTTGGTGTACTTTCCAGACAATTGACAGTTCTGCAGTCGAGTTTTTAGGCAAAGACAAGTCAAGCGCCCTTTCAGCCACTGTGGTACGGATCCGTATGGTTTAAGGAATCACTGTTTCATTGAAAGTCGCAATGCATGCTTGTAACACAAACACTCTCTTCTGTTGCACAGAATTTTGTTGATCTAGCAGGAAGTGAGCGTGCATCTCAGGCATTATCCGCGGGCATGAGGTTGAAGGAAGGTTGCCACATAAACCGCAGTTTGCTCACATTGGGGACTGTCATCCGTAAATTAAGGTTGTTACTATAGTAGTGGCTTTTCTAATCTTGAACTGCAAATGGGATTCTGATTCTCTTAACCAAAGGGAAACCTGGCAAAATGCGATTCTCAAATACATTTGTTGCCTTTTTTTATGTTTGAGAGCAGCAAAGGAAGGAATGGGCATATCCCTTTCAGAGATTCAAAGCTTACGCGCATATTACAGTCCTCCCTGGGTGGCAATGCCAGGACCGCCATCATCTGCACCATGAGCCCTGCACGAAGCCACGTTGAGCAGTCTAGAAACACTCTCCTCTTCGCAAGCTGTGCTAAAGAGGTGTCTACTAATGCTCGGGTCAACGTTGTCGTGTCTGATAAAGCATTGGTCAAGCAACTGCAGAAAGAGTTGGCAAGGCTGGAGAACGAATTGAGAAGTACAGGAGCAAAATCCGTCTCGTCAAATGTCACCGAGTTACTGAGAGAAAAAGACATGCAGATTGAGAGGGTTAGTTGGTCTCAGTTCTTTATATCAAGATTCATACATTGTAAGCACTAGAGCATTGATAGTTCTCCCTTTCCCCTCTTTTCTTGCAGCTGACGAAAGAAGTAGCAGACCTAAATAGACAGCTAAACGTGGTTCAGACACGTGTCGATGATGCTCGATCTGAAAGAGTCAGAGTCTCATTTCCATGGGTTTGTTGTTCATCTACTGCCTCTTTATTTATTTTCTTTTCAGTCTGCACGATGCTGAATGTTGGTTGTCCTTCATCTGAACAGGAAGAGGCAGGTCAGCAATACCCCAAATTAAGAGTGCAGAATTCCTGGAAATCCGAGACCTCAATATCATATTCACCTATCTCCGAGGATCCTCGCATGACGGAGACTCTTCGATCTTTCGAACCATCTCAGACCTCGGAGGACCAGTGCAGTATCATTTCCGACGAGTCCTTCATCCAACTTGCGGAATTCCAGGAGTTCCTTCAGTCGTACGCCTCACCAGAAGTATCATTTGCCAGTACAGACAAATATATCAGAGATGAAGGCTGTGACAAGGAAATTGAGAAGCAGAATCATGACAGTATAGACACTGCATCATGCAAAGAAGTGAAATGCATCGAGGTCGACAACTCAGCGGGTGGCAGCAGTGTTTCCTCCTCGCATGTGAATGAGTCAGCATCTAGCCCCAACAACAATGGACATTCAGACCCTGCTGTCTCATCTTCTCTTCTTCCAGAGATGGGTATTTCGGAATGCACAGAATTTGACTCCAATGAAGCTGATAAAACGAAAGAAATTGTATTATCACCATTGAAGGAGGAAGAAGAAGAAGAAGAAGAAACTTTGCCAGAGAAGGAATTAGTTTCATCTCCAGTGAAGGAGGAGAAAGTGGATTACGCGGAGAAAGAATCCGCTGAGGAGATGAAAGAACTGGTTTCATCTCCATTGAAGGAGGAGAAAGAAGCTGAAGAGAAGAAAGAACCAGTAATAGTAGTGCCTTCTCCAGTGATCAATGAGACAGAAGCTGAGGATAAGGAAGAACTAGTTGAGGACAGAGAAACAGAGGAGAGGAAAGAGTCTGTGTCTTCTCCCCTGCAGGAGAAGGAAAACAAAGAAGTAGCTCCAGTTCTGGCCAAGGAGGAGCAGGTGATGGTGAGTGAATCGCCATCCGACATCAACCGAGCAGGTAGCGAGACACCATCGCCAAGGGATTTCATAATACCATCACCGGAGAAATCTCCCTGGCTGATGGAAGAAGACCTGTACACCCCACGAAGCTTGAGGTTGATTAGGAGCAAAAGCTGCAGAGCAGCACTAACGACCAAATCAACCCCGCATTGGTTTGAGAGGACAGAAAAGAATGAAAGCAGCCCACCTCCGTATATGTTTGATAAGTGTTTCACTCAGAGACGAGCAAGTGTTGCCGGTCCCATTTTCCCGTTGAGGTACGATCTGCAAAATGATGTACTATCCACGAGTGGCTCTCAGGAGACTACTGCAATTCCTGATGACCATCTGGGACACAACGGCAAAACTCCTAGTGATTCGAGTAGCAGCAGCAGAGTCAGGAATGCCGCTGCTGAATCGATAGAAACGCCTGATGCTTCGGTGAGTTTGCTTTTAGAGAATGCCATCCCAATATAGAACCAGTCTTCCATCGATGACCCACTTGCTCATTCTGTGCTTGGACTCGTTTCATTACAGGTCGAACATACGAAGCCAAATCCTGAAAAGAGAGATGTGGGGTTGGATCCGATACAAGATGATGGAGCAAGTTCTCCATCATGGCCAGCAGAATTCAAGAGGCTCCAACGAGAGATCATTCAACTTTGGCATTCTTGCAACATTTCGCTGGTGCACCGGACCTACTTCTTCCTGCTATTCAAAGGTGACCCTGCAGATTCTTTCTACATGGAGGTGGAGCTCAGAAGACTGTCCTTTCTGAAGGACACATATTCCCAGGCAAACCCATCAATGGTCCATCCAGAAGCCATGACACACAGTTCCAGGTAACAAACTACTTATCATTGCATTTCCCATACTTCCAACTTTCAAACATCCATAGTGTTTACAGTGTGAGAGATCTATGTTCAACATTGTTCTTGCTTTCTGAATCAGCAAAAGAGCTCTGGAGGAAGAGAAACATATGCTGTGCAAGCAAATGCAGAGGAACCTGTCCAAGGAAGAAAGGGAGAACCTGTTTTTGAGATGGGGCATTAAGTTGAGCTCACAGAACAGAAGACTGCATCTGGTAAACCGACTGTGGACGAAGCCGGGAGACATGGATCACTTAATGGAGAGTGCCAATGTGGTGGCCAAGCTGGTTGGTTTCGATGAAGGGAAAGAGCTTGCCATGAAGGGCATGTTTGGACTCCTCAATTTCACTCCCAAATACAGCAGGCGGAAAACTTCTCTGTGGAAACGCAGCGTGCTTTCCATCTTGTGAGAGGGTTTGGGGGTATTCGGCTAATCTAAAGAACGTTGATTATTCTTTTTGGATCTGTGCTATATTTCTTTTGCGACAGGAGTTGCTGATGATTGTGTAATAGCAGAGTAGGATTTGACCAAGAGAAAGTGTGCTTGTAAATCTGATAGCGGAAGGCTGTAAGGATGCGAGATGATTGAAGGCTGTAAAGTTGGCTTTGTAATGCTTAATAAGATATGTTTAATGAGACTGGATGTTTTCCAATTGCTTTTCTATAATCTGGCGTTTTGTGATTAAGGTACTACTTAAGGGATTCGAACATGGAATCTACAGGTTCTAGGCTAGTGGTATTACCACTAGACCAAGCTAATTTGGCGTTTTGTGATTAAGGTACTACTTAAGGGATTCGAACATGGGATCTACAGGTTCTAGGCTAGTGGTATTACCACTAGACCAAGCCCTTTTTCGTACGATTTCCAGATATCTTTGATAGCTGCAGTTTGTTCTGCCGTTACAAATCAGTCTCTAAACGCTTAGAATTAAGCATAGAGCAGCTTTGGATCAACTCTTTTACCAACGAGACTTCTGCATTAAAATCACCATGTCCAAAACCTAGTACCCAACTGTGACAGCAAGCAAAGAAAGCTGTCCTTTACTCTAGTTGGAATTGGCACAGACTCATCAATCACATAGACCAAAGATCCAGGGAAGCCTCAATCAGACATTGCTAAAATTTCAAGCTTGCTCGATAGCGAAGGTAAAAGCACGGCAGAAAAAACAGATTTGACAAGATGAAGATGAACACTTATTTGAACAGAATACAATGAGAAGGTGACACCAGTGTTTATTTCCAGGGGGGATAATTCTACTTCCAGTCATAAAAAACCAGCAAATGCAACATAATAAGCCATGGGTTTGGCGAAGTTGAGTGTTTAGAGAGGAATAGATTTACAACTATCGCACAGCCTCGGTGGGCATAATATCATCCAGCTCACAGCTACCAAGTATTTGGGAAGAAAACAACCAATCCAGAACTTACTCTGCTCTGGATTGACCTGCCCTGGAAGACAGGATGATGCCAACAATGAGACCATACAAAGCCAACGCTTCAGCAAAGATGAGAATCAGAATCATTCCAACAAAGAGCTTTGGCTGCTGAGCATTTGCTCTGCAAAAGATCACCGTCCATAAATCAGCCCAACCCAATCAAAAAAAAAAGACAGCAACTGCAAGTGACAGGTTTTGATATATTGACAGGAAGAATCTACACAGTTACCCTCATCATTTTCAGACTATTAAAGCCAGGATCTAATTTTGAAATACTCCCTTAATCTGAGTCCGACTTGCACCAACTATGTCTATCAAAGTCTTATTTTTGGGTCGTTCCCAACAATGTTATATGTGTACTTCCATGAAATGTGTAATCATGGAACCCAACCATGGATTGGTGGCAACATTCCTTCCACTTAAGAAGCTTAGAGAAACAGAAAGACTCTTCTACTTTCAGTCTGTTCCATGGAATTGAATCCACTTGACATGGCCAAAATTCCTTTCACTTACAATAACCTCACATGAAATCTATTTTACTTGCAATAGATAGCAAAATTGATTCAATTTCTAGTTTAACAACTCTAATCAAGCAACAGTCTTGAACAGTTCTAAGAGTTATATATATATCAGATTGCTGATATGAAACCAGAATCGCTAAGGACATACCTGACGCCGGCATCCCCAACGATGCCGATGGCCATGCCAGCAGAGAGTCCGGCCAGACCACAGGCCAATCCAGACGAAAGATGTGCGTAGCCGTCGAAGAGGTAGTACGATTTGGCCTTAGGGTTGATCCCGGTGCTGATGATAACAGCAATAATCAGACCATAGATACCGAGCACTCCAGCCATAACAACTGGAACAATCGACTTCATAACCAGCTCCGGCCTCATCACCCCCATCGACGCCACTCCCACGCCGCTCTTCGCCGTCCCGTAGGCTGCTCCCATACCTGAACCATCAGTAGCAAATTGAATTGAGGGTTCCAATTTTGAGTATAGAAGAAAGAAAGATTGGCATCTTTCAATCCTGATCGCGGATCTGAAATCTGAAGAGAGTACGGGATTTGTTTGGCTTACATGAAAAGACGAGGGCCGAAGCGGCCCCGAGGAAACCGAAGAAAGGTGCGGTCTCATCGCCGCTGAAGGTAGACGACATTATCTCCGGTAGGGATTTCTGGGGAGGGGAATTCGATCACGAATCGGGTTTGCCTCTCCTCGAACTAAGTTGATGATGCAGGGATGAACAAACGGTGGGAAAACTTCCAGCCAGGTGCTTCGGTGCTATGCTATCTCAGGGTCTATGTCGGCAATATATCAAGCCCAATAATAGTTCCATCCTCACCCCACGAGCCCGACTTTGGTGACCCACTAAATGAAGTACTCAATGGGCCTGTCTTCAATATTAGAGTACTAACTATGTTAACTAGGGATATCAATGGATTAGGTTGGGTTGGATTTCTCTAAACACGTTTTCAATGCAAGTACCATTAAAAAACTTATAAAATATTGATGAGTTTTAGAAGTAAAAATCCAATCAAATAGATAAACACGGGTCTATAGGTACTCATGGGTTCACAAACATAACCATATATTATTTTTTCGAACATCCATATTGTAATGTTATCGCAATTTTCACTATAAAAATATATCTACAAAGATCATTAATATCTATAAATTATCTATATTATCCGTTTATATTGCTATAAAGACTAATAACATCCATAAGTTATTCGTATTGTTCCGGTTTGATACAAAATGACGTCGTTTAATTTAATGTGTATGGGGCCGGGTGGGAAGCGGGCTGGGTTTTGAAAAAAATCAAACCAGACAGACCCACCAATTTCAAAATCAGGTACAACTCACATCCAACCCAAAACTCATCAACATTGGGTTTTGCACACTTTGATCAGGTTGGGTCAGATTGGCCAATTGGGTATCAGTGAGTTTGGGTTCAATTGTCATCCCTATTATTAACTCAAGGTCAATTCAGAACCGGCCTTCCACCCGATCTGATTATACATAAATCCAGGCCTGGTCATACTTGATAAACTGTGTCATGTCCAACCAATTCCGTTAGTCTTACCTGGTTGAGAGCGACCAAGCCAAGCAAAACAGAGCCCTTGTAACACCTTAAGCATATCTCACATCAATAAAGTATGAGAGAGATTCATGGTTCATAAGGAACATCCAACCTTAAATGACAAAACACAACCCCTGGTGAAACTAGAAGAGTTATTGTAAGAACTCTAAAGTTAAACGTGTTTTGTGTGGAGCGATGCAAGGATGGATGACCTCTTGGAAAGCCACTATGATAAGCACCCAAATCAAAATCATGCGGGGTAGACCCAAAGCGGAAAATATTTTGGTCAAAAAGGCTTGTGATGTTACAAGTGGTATCAGGCCCCACATCGATGCCAATCATTTGTTAGTCCTCGTCTCGACACTTCTTCATGATGGAATTATCAATCCTGGGCGAGATCTATGAGGATGGCGAACAAGATCGTCTTCGTCAATGGCGCAGCGTCGCGTTCGACCGATGGAGATACTCTTATTCCTGCTTAGGAGCGCGCAAATCTCATTGTGCTCGGCTGGATCTACCGTTCTTTGGAGACAACCATTGCTTAGTCAGTCCTCTAGTTGGATTCTACGTGAGAGGTATGGTTGGATCTACAAGAACGCTTCAGCAAGGCAAACTTCGTGAGGATTTCATATTTGCATGAAGAAATGTTTGGCTTCAAGCAAGGCAATCTGACCGTCGCTGATTATTATACAAGGTTTAAGGTTCTTTGGGACAAGTCCTTTGCTCTCCGTCCTCTACCAGGTTGTTCTTCCAATCCACGTTGCCACTATGAAGCTCTTACTTGTCTCGGGATAAGGTAATCTGATTTATCAGAGGCCTCAGATATTCTTTTAGCCCGCTACGATATCAGATTCTCCAGCAAGACTCGCTGCCTTCCATAATCGAGTATTTTCTCAGGAGATTCAACATGATCGTGAATCTCGGTATGGATCTGCTAGTCCTTTTGTGCAGACGGCACCGATGGCGATGGCAGGAAACTTCCCTCCTAATCACGCTCAAAGCTCTGGTCAAAGTCACGGAGTTCCTAACGATGCATCTAAGAAGCCCTTTGTACCTTCTATGGCATACACTGGGCATATGATTGAGAAGTGCTTCAAAAAGCACGGGTATCCAACTAGATACAGGACTCGTGGCAAAGCTGTCAACGCGATCTGATTTGGAGAAGTTGAAGGTCTTTCGGATCAGCTACCTGCTGGAGATAGCTTCACGCTCTCAAAGGAACAGTATCAAGCCTTCTTGGCTTTGATTCAGCCACCGCAGTAGTAGACTAATATTGGGTCAATGAATTCGATGGCAATCTTCGGTCCTACACCACCAGAACACTCCACAATAGCTCTTTTTGCTTATGCAACTTCGGCACAAGCTGCTTCCTCGGCTACACAACTTACATATGAGGAAGTTACAAGTACCTATGTCCTTTTTGCTCTTACAAAACAGTCCCCTAGGTCTCTAGAACAAGCATGGATAGTAGACACTAGCGCTAACGATAATGTGGGTTGTAGATTAGATATGTTTGATTCCACTTTACATGTTCTTAACTCTTTTGTAACTTTGCCTAACAGTTCAAGGGCAAAAGTTATCCATATTGGGATTGTTACTCTAAATAATAAGATAATAGTATCTAATGTCTTGCTCATACCAACATTTACATTCAACTTGCTTTTTGTTAGAAAGTTAACATATCATCACAAATGTGCATTGACTTTCCTTTCTAATAAATGTTTTATTCAGGAGCTGTCTGCTATGCGGACGATTGGTATATCTGATAAAAAATTTGGACTCTACTATCTTGAACATGAAAATGTCGAATCTAATACATCTTTCCCTCATTTATTCTATTATGCATATAATACTGATAAAGACTTGTTCGATTTGTGGCATTATCGTTTAGGACATGCATCTAGTCCTAGAATAAAGGGTCTAATAGCTAATTTTTTTCCTATTAGTGTCAATTACCATTTTCATTGTAAGGTGTGTTCTCTTGCCAAGCAAAAGAGGCTACCATTTGTATCCAACACTTATGTTAGCCAGTTTCCTTTTGATTTAGTTCATTGTGATGTATGAGGTCCTTATAAGGAACCTACAATTGATAATTATCTTTTTTTTTTCAATTGTGGATGATTGTACTCAAACTACATAGGTTTACTTGATTAAGTATAAATCTGAAACTAGGGACTTGTTTGTTCATTTATGTTTATATGTAAAGTTATACGAACTGATAATGTTCAAGAGTTTAACATGCCTAGTTTGTATGCTTCTAAGGGTATTTAACACCAGACTTCATGTGTTCAAACTTCACAGCAAAATCGTCGAGTCAAAAGAAAATTACAGCATATCATTATAGTAGCTAGAGCTCTCGTTTTTCAAACTACATTGCCTTCAAATTTTTGGGGACATGCAGTTCTTCATGCTACACATCTTATAAATTGGCTTCTCTCTCCTCTTATCAAATATACTTCTTCTTTATGTCTTCTTACTGGTTTTTCCCAAGATTTAGGCCATCTAAAGGTATTCGGTTGTCTAGCATATGCTAGTACACTAAGCCACAATAGGCTAAAGTTTGAACCTAGAGAAACCTCTTGTTTTTTCTAGGTTATCCCTTTGGTACTAAGGGTTGTAAGCTTCTAAATCTTAATACAATTAGTTATTTCGGGTCTCGGGATGTGGTTTTTCATGAACACATCTTTCCATCTAAAACTATTTATTCTCGTTCAGATTCTGAGATTTCCTTTCCTAACCTTGACAACATCACATAACAACCTCTTCCTTCACTACTATCTATTCCTCCACCCCCTATGGTGGTACCTGAACCTTCATTAGTACCACCTATCTTAAATCAGCCTCAAATACACGAGATCAATGAACCAGCTGACATTTGCAGGCCTATTAGCCAGAAAAAGTAGCCAGTCTGTTTAAGTGACTATGTCTGCAATTCTGTTCATGCTACATCTTCTAATATTAAGTATCCTATTTCTGATACAGTTTCTTATGATTCTTTAGCCTCGTCTTACAAAATCTTTTTTTTTTAATATTACAAAAGAAGTTGAACCTTCTTCTTATGAAGAAGTAATTCGTGATCCTAGATGGGTTGGATGCAGCTATAAAGCTGAATTAGATGCCTTAGATGCCACCAATACTTGGCAGTTTGCTTCTCTTGCTTCTGGTAAAAAGGCTATAGGTTATAAATGGGTTTTTTCGTATTAAATACAAATATGATGATACTATTGAACGTTTTAAGGCTAGGTTAGTTGCCTAAGGTTTCACTGAAACCAAAGGCATAGATTATTTAAAAACCTTTTCACCCATGGCTAAAATGACAATAATCTGCATTCTTCTTTCAAGATAAGGATGGTCAATAGAACAACTAGATGTTAATATCATACCTGCATTTACTTGCTTTTTCGGACTCTGATTAGGCTGGTTGCCCAGATACTAGGAGATCCACTACTGGTTTTTGCGTGTTTATGGGTCAATCTAATACTTCTTGGAGAGCAAAGAAACAAGGTATTGTAAGTAGATCACATGTTAAACCAAATATAAAGTTATGGCAGATTTGTCTTGTGAATTACAGTGGTTAAGTTATTTGTTTACCGACTTAAGGTGTTTTGTTTCAAGTTTCGTTCTCTTTTTATTGTGATAACACTTCTGCAATTTGTATTCCATAAAATCCAGTTGCACATGAAAGAACGAAGCACATCCTGATCGATTGTCACATAATTCGAGAGAATATAGCTAACAAGCTGCTCAAAGTCTTCCATATTAGCACTAATAATCAAATCACAGACATATTGACCAAATCCCTGTCAATAAATAAGTTTCAGGAGCTTAATACCAAGTCGGCCATGTGTGATATACATGCTCCAGTTAGGAATGGCAATCAAACCAATGACCACAGGTACCTGACCGCCCCCGACCCAGTCAATGCTGGAAATCCCCGCATTGATTGGGTATGCGGCTGATATGGGTAAAACCCGCAAAAAGTTTGATGGGTATGTGGCGTGTATGGTTTTAGCCTCCCCGACTCCGACTAAGTCAATGAGGGGAATCCCCGCATTGATTGGGTATGCGGCGGATATGGGTAAAACCCGCAAAAAGTTTGATGGGTATGGGGCGGTTATGGTTTTGGCCTTCCCGCCCCATGCCCAGACCTATACCCGACCCATCAAAAATATTTCTTCACATATAAAATTACATGGATAAAATTGAAACCTATCAATGATCGTGAAGATAACTTAAGACAGTATATAGTAGAAATGCAATTGAGTGGCCACTCAAGTCCAAATCTAATTCATTTACGTCAGTTCTCTTTTCATTCTTTCACTCTTCCCTCTTGTTAACAAGATAATTATGTTAGTTAAGTATTACTTAGTAGATGTATCAGAGTGAGTAAGAAACTAATGATTTAAAAATATTATATTCAATCTTATTGATTAATAGATGTTTTAGGATCATACAATTTGAACCGTATCAAGAATGTATCTTTATTGACTTGTAGTAGGTCTATTTAGCGTTATAATTGAAAATTTACATGTAACATCTTATGTTTATGATGTTGGATGTATGGAGCAAGTATCATGTGTACCCGAAACCCACGGGTATGGGGCAAGTACGGGTTTGGATATTTGAAAGCAGGAATGAAAAAGGTTTAGGCTAGGAATGGCAAGGGCAGGTCCGGGGCGGGTTACTTGGTACCCAGATCCATCCCGTGACAGGTCGGGTCCAGATCAGGTAATTTATCACGGGTCGTGAGTCGGGCAGGTCGACCCAATGTGTATGCAATTTATATGGGAAAACATTAAAAATATTCGTTATTTTTATTATAAAACTAAGAAAACAAACAATATTATGATAAATGTAGTTAAATTATTGGAGAAATTGAGATTTTCACTGATTTACAACTTTATTATAGCTAAAATATGGTATAATAAAAGAAAATTTCAAAGTAATTTGACTAGGATTACATGTACTTTAGGCAAGAACGGGTTGAGAATGGGGCAGGTTAGGCAGGTCGGACCGATAAAAGTACCCATGCCCGCACTGCCTACGGGGCGATCGGACCCGTCCAAAATAGACCAAACAGGTCGGGTAAAATGGGTCAGGTCAAAATTGTCATCGCTAGTTTAGACAATCTCGTCCCATTGACATCGAGTTGAAGGTATTAATGTAAGTAAGATTTAAAATGTAAATTTTAATGTAACCAGAGTAGTTTAATTTGTAGTTTAATTTGTAGTATAGATACGGTAGCGGTAATTTGGTCAGATGTATAAAAGGCAACATTCAGTACACAGAGAAGGCTGAACACATTTATGACAAAAACACAGAGGAATTTTTCTTCCGCAATCTCTGAATCTGGCAGGACAAACCCCGTCTGTGTATATGTACGATCTACGAAAAAGAGACTAGAGAGAAAAATCATCATGGAACAGTCTAGTATACAAATGGAAGAAAAGCTCGCCTACTGCGAGGGTAAGCCTCAAACTTGTGCAAGTACCACCTCTGCGTCTCTGCTGCTGCAAATCCAAGATTAGCCACCTGCAAAAAATTGATGTTGAGAGATCGAACTCACATCAAAACCAACAAGTTTAAACGGAGAAGCCCAACTCACCACGAACAGAAGAAGCAACCACATGATGTAGTCAGTAGCCCCGCTCGCAATCAAGAGCCCTGCGTAGATTAGCATCTCAGCAGTGTAGTGGGGGCTTGACACCAATTCAAACCAATCCCCACGAGGAATCGCATACTCCTCACTTTGTTCTCTGTCCCTCCTTCTCAATGATCCCTTATAATATACATACGTCGAGAAACAAAGGAAGTGAGTAATGAATGAAATGAGCCATTTGAGTTGCTCATTATGCACAACTGAAGGAGGGAGGAGAAGCCTAACCAGGATTTTATGGCAGCGAAGCTGATGAACCCATCCCCAGGCGAAAAGGGCAGCACCAGTCCACTGACACCATCGCAGCTTCAATATCGGCTTCAAAAATCCCTTCCAATCCGTGTTGTCGCCACCGATTGCAGCAAAAGATGGGTCCTGTTGGGTTTTAGCATTGAGCTCCACCACCACTTCATCAACAGCGAAGTTGAGAGCCTTGAAAGCACAAAAGTGGCAGAGCGAGAGCGGAGCCGCAGCATAGAAACTGTTGAAATTCCACCACAACCCAACAGGCAGCAAAACAGAAACATTCAGTGTGAATATGGAAGAAGCAAATTCAAGAAAATGGGATCAAGGATACATTCGTTATGTTATTGGAGAATGAATGGAATGGAACTCACAAGAGGCCAGTGAGATAGCCCAGAATGTGCATTCGAGCCGAGGGGCTGTAGTTGAGGACATAAATGGTCTCGTAAAGCCGCCTCAACACATGAGTCTCCATCAGCAACAGCAAGAACACCGACACCCAGACCTTGTACCTGTGCTTTGCGGTCCCCGAATGGGACTTGTGCCAAGAGAACAATCGCGAGCCGCCCCCGGTCAAGTGGGCCGCCGCCGACGAGTAGTCCAACGGGTCGGGTACCAACGGAGCCGTCTTGGACGCGTAGTTCCAAGTAATCACCAGCAAGAAACTAGTCCACGCCACACCAAACCAGTAAAAGTGCAGGAAAAATCTCTGGGGAACCGTCCACTTCTGAGGTAAACAGAGCAGAACCCACTTTAAATACAAGTTAAAAAGAGAAAATCGGAGTGAGGAAAGGGAGAAGTGGGGCTGCCAATGCCAGTACCTTGGAAGACGACTTCAGGGTTTTGCCCCTTTTAGCGAAACCCAGCAAGAGTTGGTGGATGGGGTTCAGTCGAGAGAAGGGCAGTGAAGCGAGGAGTATCGGCAGAGTTCCGGCAACCCACGCTACTCCGAGCAGCCAGTCGAGCCGTATCGCCATCGCCGCCGGAGACTAAATTACCTTCGCATTCAACGTTCAAACAATTTTTTTGTTTCTTTCTTTTTTGCTTCGATGTAATTGACAGACAGCTGGGATGGCGCAGAAGTTCTAGAGAGCTTAACCGTTTGTTTTGAAACGCAAGGGCGGATGGCGGCACGTGGCACAGACGTGGCAACTTTTATGGGCCGGCCTAATGTTCGTTTTTGGGCTCATTATCTTATTTTTAACACTTCGGTGGGGTTTTCGCAAAAACAAACCGACCCAAGGACTTGGTGCAGGACGGGATATGGGATTCACAGGAGAAAACTGGGGGAGGATGTTTCGATGGAGGGGGTGATGTGGCCTGTAGGGATTAGATGATGTAATCTTCGTTCTTGGTTGTTGTGTGATGTATTTTTTTATTTGTTATTAAAATAAAGCAAAATAAAAATTAATAAATATGTATGTGGCACAGTCAAATAGTTGCTTGTTTTGCCACGTCATCAGAATCCATCCAACTCAGAAATTAGTGTGCCACCTTAGAGTGAACAAACGTTTGACCGGACGGAAAGTTAACGATTTGGTTATTGTTTTTATTTTAAAAAAGTTTGGCTATTATTTTGTTTAAAATAAAAGGTTTGGCTATTATATTGTATTAGGATTCAGCCCGCGCTCTACTGCGGGATACTATTTCTGTCATAATTTAAATGAGATTTAATATATTCTATTACCATAATTGTTATGTCCCAAACATAGACATAAATGTTGTCATTGTCATAAACATATAATCTATGACCATTATGCAAAAGAGTGACTGTTTTTGCAGAATAAACATGAATGTAGTTAGGAGTGTTGCCAAGTCTCCACGATGTATCTACTAAACTAATAAAAGTTCCATGGCGGAGACTGAAGATTTGGAAACAGTAGGACAAAATGTTTTCAGAAGTTTCGTGCCTTTGTTGTTTGCACGATATCAAAATGGCAAGCTTCGAAGGACAACATCATTTCTCGAATGCTGATCGGTCCCAGAGGGTGAGCACTGTCGCTTTTGGTTGCATGTCTGAATCACTGTCCCCCACTTTTTTCCATGCGACATTCAACTCCGCAGCATATTTTTTGTTATAGTTCTTTGCGATCAATTCGATGATTTCGTCCTTCTTCAGAAACTGATAATCAGATGGTGACTTACGAATAAGTGACAAAGCTGCTTCATGCTTAAACACCACATCTATTTCAGATCCTCCTTGGCGACATTTCCCTTCCAGTTTGTATGTCAGTCTTGCAATACAGTTTTTTTTTGTTAGGTTATACAAAGAGTATTATTATGCCTTGTGTAAAAATGGGAGAATGGTCAAAAGCTTACCCTGTGTTCTCTCCACGAACTTTGCAGATGCTTTTTCTGTATATAAACCTTGGAATGTTAATCAATGTCATGTAAGTAAACCTGTTGCAAAAACTGTCAGATGTATTATACAGGTAAACAGATGGAAATAAACAGCTGTTGTCAATGCTGGTGTTTGTTCGTTTACCTCTGTGAAATCTGACAGGTCCTCCATCCTTTCTTTTATCTCTCTCAGCGATTTCTTTTGCAGTTGATTGCTCAGGAGGTGTCCAGTTTTTTTGCAAGTAGCATCATCGATGAAGTATACTGGTTTGCGACATGCAAGAAAGCTACACGTTGAAAATAAATGTGTAAGTATCACTAACTCGATAGTAGTTGAACTAATCAGTTGGGTAAACCAATATACAGAAACTCACATGTTCATGACATCCTTGCAGCAGTCCTGATAAGAATGGATGATGAGCTTGCTTGCAATTGTGGATTGAAATTCATGCTGATACTTACTGTTATGTCTAGGAGTTACTCTACTAACTGATCTGATTGTCACAATCAGTGGTAACTTTGACTCAATTGCTGGAGCATTCTTTTGAAAATCATCAATGTCATGGCCACTGTATTCAACATAAGCCTTTGCCCCACTGATTGCAAACCAATGCGTTAACTATACATTTTGACAAAGTAAAAAAAAGTGTACAATCTTAAGTGCATACCAGACATCTTGTATGAGCAGATCGAATTTCTGAATCCTTCCTTTAATTGTTTCTGGATGAGTTAGCCTTCTAACACATCCTGTAACATCTATAGATTTAATGTTTGTTATGCTTTGTTTAATGGTGCTCTTAATCATGGATAGAGAGACATATATTTACCTGAATGGCAGACAAAGTCTTCTGATAGTTGAGGCACAATGGAAAAATCGGCTGCTGTGTATGATCCTACTGGGAATTGCTGGGGTCCATTTCCTTCTTCAATGTGTCTCCTAATTTGATCTGAAGTGAGGAGCAGGCGTAACTCTCGATGGACAACGCGTTGCACTGACCTTGCTGGACCTGCTACAATATCTTGTAGTTCATGCAGGCAACCAACCTTTATTTTCTGAAAAACCTCAGATGCATCTTCTTCTTCAACTTGTGCTTCGATCAATTTGTTCTGTAAAGTCAATGGTAGATAGATATGTTGTCAATAGTTTTTGTTCTTTTAGCATTTGCCAGTAGGTTAATTGATGTCCAGTGTTTGTATATTGGGAAGTTCTTTTGTCCTAACACTGAATCAAATGCTCTGACGAATATTTATGAATATGGTTGGGGTATCTGGAGTCAAACCTTTTTGTCAAGCCAGAGCATGTGATGTGTCCTTTTCTTCCATGTGGATAAAGGCACTTCTCGGAACTCAGTCCATGTAACGACATGTCTTGCTATAACCGTTCGATTGTTTGTTCCCAAACGCAGTCCCCGAAAGCACATGCTTGATTCAATAGACTCTGCAATCCGATTAAAGACGAATCGATAAATAATAAATGGGAAAAATTTGCATAGGAATCGAGATGCGCTTGTAGGATTTCTTTCCAGATTCAATGTATTTACCTTTCAGTTCGTTCGGGTCCATTTTGTGTGGGTCCATGGAATCTCACGTATCAGTTGTACTATACAACTGTAAATCTGTTGGGTAGAAGAATGCTTCCAGTTCTTCGAGATCCTGGTTTCCCTTTTTTGTTTTTATCTTGACTGCGCGGTTGATTTTAGAAGGCATAAAAAACAATCGGTAGTTTATGTAAGCTAGGGTTAACTTAGGGTAAGTCCTTTTTGGATCGATTGTTTGGGCCTTGACATCGTGTTTGGGCTCTGTATGGTATGCAATGGGTTCTAACTATTGAATCAGGCCTTTTTACAGAAAAGGCTACAATACGCCCCTGCGATGAATGTCTGTCAAGTTGTATCAGTTGGGCTCATCGATTTTCTTTCTAAGTTCTCTCTGGATAGTCCGAACCGATGTTAACAGATCATAACTCATGACTGCTTTCTGGCTTTGAGTTTCGAAATAATAAACACAAAACGTGTCTCTTGTTAAGAACAACGCAAGAACTGGAAGAACAAATTTTCCCAGGCGTAAAATTCAAAAAGTTGGGAGAGTTCATAATAATCACTTCGAGCTTCTTCGATGCTTCCAAAATTAACCAGGTGCAATATCTGTGAAGGCTTCTGAATATACAATGTTTCTCGTGTAACTGGCTAGAATGTCCTCTTCATTTTCAATCAAGAATCAAACCACCTGCAGATCTTACTCTTGATGCTGCCACATAAAGCTGTCCATGACTGAATACTGGTTTGGGCAAATAGACTCCAACCTTGTCCAGCGTTTGACCTTGGCTCTTATTTATAGTCATCCCATAACATAACCTTACTGGTAATTGCCTCCTCTTCAGTATAAAGGGCCAGCGTTTGTCTTCTACGTTGAGTACTATTCGTGGTATAACAACCTCTTTTGTGTCAAAAGATCCTCCCATGATGTTTCCAACAATGATATTTTCCCCCAATTTCGTAATCAATATCCTCGTACCGTTGCACAGGCCGTTTGGTGGGCTCAAATTTCTCAGCAACATGATCGGAGTGTGAACCTTAAGTCTTATTTCATGATCTGGAACACCATTGAACTGAAGAGCATTCAAAAATTCTGTTGGGTAAGTTTCAGCAAATAGCTGAGGTACCTCTGTATCAAGTTGCATAGAGTCTGAACTGTAGTAGCAACGGCAATGTCCAGGAATTTTTTGCAACATGAAGTCATTCACTTCAGTCACAACTGCATTAGTAGGAGTAACGATTGCCCTTCCACTTAGGTAATCTGTGCTCATGTGTTGTTCCTCAAATGTGTCATATATGTCATTTGTGATTGACTCGATTGGATTTTTTCCAGCATATATCAAGAGTATTTGTGGTATCTCAATCCAATCTGAAGGTGTGTTAGCCATAAAGGATTTTGTTGGAAGCCTTCCATCTCCTAGCGCCAGAATCCATTCACCAAAGTTCATTCCACAGCCGACCAGGTTTCTATTATCCTGTGAATCATTAAGCCTCATGTTCCTTGACAGTTTGAGCACTTTAAAAAAGGGCCACAATGATGACCTTGTGATGGATCCATCCACTGTTTGTTCCCTTCCTGAATCTGAAATCACTGGTAGGGTCTGTCTAAAATCACCACCAAAGACTACTGTTTTCCCTCCAAACAACTTGTGTTTTGGACCTGATAGTGGTATGTCCATCAAATCACAAAACGTCCTGCTTATAGCCTCAAATGCATTTCGATGTGTCATCGGTGCTTCGTCCCAAATAATCAATGAAGCTGCACGTATTAGCTCAGCTAAATGAGTACCTTTCTTTATGGAACATGTAGATGCATGGTCTATATGATGGGGAATCTTGAACCTTGAATGAGCAGTTGTGCCGTTTGGTAGTAGTGTGGCTGCTATTCCAGATGAGGCAACAACTATAGCAATTCTGGAAAGACTTTTTAATTTTGCAATGATTGCATTGTAGAGAAAAGTCTTGCCTGTTCCTCCATGGCCATATAAGAAAAATGAAGTGTCAAGGTTGTTGTTGATGGAGAGAATAATATGAGTGTGAAAGCCTCTAGCTGTTTTGTGTTCAGTTTGCTAACCATAGTATTTGCCAGTAACCTTTGTTGATCATCATCAAAGTTAAGATGCTCATTAATCAGGGAATTTGATCCATCGTCAGGTTCTGAATCTGTCGGTCTTGGGAGATGTAATTGCTGAAGTGAAGAACCATAAGTTCTCAGTAAAGTTTCCAGCTGATGTAACACCCAATTCTTAAGTCTCTCATCTGAAGGCTGGAAAGTTTTTGAGTGTAGCTGTTTACGAATAGAATAAACATGATCTTCACTCATTAACCTCCATGAAGATTCAAATAGAGCATTAGGATCAGGTATCTCGCAGAACATCAGCATTGAAACAAATGTAGTCTGTATTATGTGTGGCATACTTGATGCTGCAATTTCTTGTAATACCTGAATCCATTCTGAAGAGTCCGACAGAAGCCCCAACTTTTGACATGCTCTTTCGTAAGTACTACAAACCTCCCCTTGTACTGTTCTTAAATTGAGGAAACTTGTTGCTCCTCTTACTTTGGTCAATAGCAGCCTAAGAAAGAATATATCATCACTTCCTGGAGGAACATATGCTATCCTTCCTATTGCGAAACCTCTTTTCCTTGGAGTCCATTCGCTGTATTCTTCATTCCATGTAAAGGAATTTGGTATCTGAGCATATGTAAGCTTTCTTGCATTGCAATCATGTCTGTTAAGTTCAAACCATGAAGTAAGATGAGTTTTGCCTGCCCTTGGATTTTGCAAAACATTTTGAATATTTGACCTTCTCTTGTATGAAACATTCTGTTGTACATCCATGTGTACACCAAGTCGAACCACATTAGGCTCTCTGTGGTGTATAGAATACTCGTTGATTCTCCATATAGCTTCGTATGAGGACAGCGACCTGCAATCAATGAACTCTTGTATCTCGTCTTTGGTTTTTTTTGTTATATTTGATGGCACCTGAACTGAGCTTGTCGAGTAATCTGCAACAATAAGAGATCTATCTGGTCCTTTAGTAATGTACTTAAATAAGTACTTCACTAAGCCTTCCTTGTGACATATCTCCACATTAATATGGGCTTGAGCTCTAACCAATAAGTTCCGATTGTATGGAACGACATATCTATTATCCAGCATTGCCTTTCCTTTTTGAACCTGAATGCCGGAATTTCTTCTTCTGTACACGACATTGCCAAACTTGTCGAACGAACTTTCTGAACAGAATTCTTTTGGAAAATACTTCGAACATTTACCATCTTTCATACATGGTGAAGTGGAGTTGTTAACACCACAAGGTCCATGAATCATGAACTTAACCACTGCAGCATACCCTTCTGGATCTAGATTGGGGTCTGGTATCTCTGCAGAAATCATCTCATCAATGTCAGATGTTGACTTTAGCTTATCCTCTTTGGCTAACCATATAAGCATATGGACATGTGGGAGGCCCCTCTTCTGAAACTCAACTGTGTAGATTACTGCGAAAAAACAGACCATCATTTGAACTTGATAGCTCATTCAAATAATAAAAGAAATTTTATACAATGAAAGGTCATCTACAGGTAACTCACTGGCTATCGTTTTCCCGAAATATGATTCTCTTTTAAACTCGTCAATTAATATGGCAAGCTTCATGTGAAACACACGGCAGACCACCATAGGCTTCAACTCGATGTTTGGTCCAACCATCACTACAAGAAAAATCGTCTATAGAAACAAAGGAAATTTGTCTCTACAATACACTTATTTGATTCTATATCTCTTTAGATACAAATTATGCATTTGTCTCAAGTAGTGATGTTGCTATAGCCCTATAGAGACTGATATAGATGCAGATATCATATGTAGCTGAGTAGAGATATTGCTACAATTATTTTAGTCTCTATTATCTCTTTTAGATTACGGTTATTCTGTCTTTGTATATCATTTTAAAGACACAAATATATGTCTCTAAAATGACTATAGGAGATAAATATTTTTGTTTCTATAATTGGTTTATGGAAACATTTATATCTGTCGTAAACTACATTTTGTAAGACAAAATTATCTGCTTCTAATGTTACTTTTGGAGACAAAAAATTTGATTCTGAAATGAAGCTTTTGAGACTAACGTATGCCCCTAATCCATATGTTCTTGAAGGATTATACTTGTCTTCACCGAGTGCTTGTGACAATCTATCATGCGATCCAGGACCATCAACACAAGACGGCTCATTTATTTTTTCCTAGAAGCATATGTACATTTTGGAAGTCATTGTCTACTAATGCCATATTTAATAAAAAGTGCACTGTTAAAATTATTGATTATGCATATATGTACTCAATTATATAATACTTACAATAACTTGGGCCACTTGAGCATTCAATGGAGTCCCGTTCTTACGCACATGAGCAACAACATAAACCTGAGCTGGAGTTGGCTCTACCTTATCCGGTGTAGACTCTGCCTGTAATGTTATCCATAAATGAAAAATGATAACTTAAAATGCATTTAAGTTCAAAGTATATAGTTGTTTGTACTATTCACTAAAGAAATTGTGAGTTATATTACCATTTCGTCTCTCTTGCAAGCATAACTTTTCGTACCCAAAGTGTGTGCTGATTTCACTTTGCTCCTGTTTTCCTTAGCCACAATTGCCCTTCTCTATAATTGTAAACAAGTATACTATGTTATATTGATAAAAACCCAAAATCGTACTAATTAAAACAAACTGAGGATCTAATTAATTAATTAATTAATTAATTATATGAGCCATACCACAGCTTTGTTACTACTCCAAAATTCCAAGAGCCATGTCCAATCATCATTGAGTACTCTTCCATCACGTTCTTTCTTCCCGAACCAGCTATTTTTTACTTTATTCTTGAAATTCCTCCACTTGCTGTCTAAGGAACTCATTATCCATGGTTCCACTAATGGATCAATGTCAAATTTTTCCTATATATAAATTAACAACAATCAGTTTAGACTAATTAATGAAATTAAAGATATTATCTAATAAGTGACTGGATACGCATACCTGTACTAAATCCCACATTTCAGTTTTGTAATGAGCGGGCATGTTCCTCCAATCGGCATATCTAAGAGGTGCATAGGCTCCGTTTCTGGCTAAAGTACCCAAAAAGTAGCCCAATTTCTTAGCTTTGCTACCAACTGGTTGGCCATATCTATTGATCCGAACATGAACCTTTTCTCCCTTCGATAAAGCCCAAATCTCCTTGCACCTAGTTGTACCTCTTTTTCTTTTGACCTGTGATGATGCTGTGATAAAAGTATAATCTAAATTTAAGCAAGTCTTCAGTTTACTCATAAAAAGAAGCTGTGACTTCATGATTCATAAATGTGATGACCTTTATTCATCTTCTTGTTTTATTAGAATGCCCCTTGCTCAATTATTAGAGTAACAATAATATATGGTTGACAGGTCACGAAGCAACCAAACCAAATAAAGATCAAGCCTGTAGTTGAATTCGACAACTAACCCAGTAAAGCAAAACATATGAAAGGGAGGTTTCATTAGATTGACAACGCCATTGATGATAATATAGACGAGAGCAAGATAAGCCTACCCGGAATAACACTATCATGATTTTGATTGCAATCATGAACCCCCCTTTGAATCGAATGAGATCTCGAACGAGTCATAATCTGTTAGAAAAATTTAAACCGATTAGAATCAAAGACTAGCTTTGATGAGTTTATTACTTGGAGTGTGACGATCAATAACGGTACTTGTTTTGCTGCGACTTCGGAATTCAGTCGACTAAGCCACAAGATGCGGCTTCTTTACTTCTCTGGTTTACCTCCTTTGAGACTCTTGTTATCGGGATTAAAATATATGGACAGAGGGACGTGACTCAGCCGGGAGTTATTAGGTTTTTTTTGGTGATTGAGTTTGAAAGTTTTCCTTAAGTCTTTCCCGCTGCTTTTTCAGTTTTTAATTCTTCAAAGTTTTCAAGAGCCCGCCAGTTTCATATTTTAATACCTAATTATCTTGTTGGATCCATAATGGGAAATGATCCGACTGGAAGTAATTTTTTATTTTGTTTGTTGTAGATGTCCTTAGGAATTGGCAATGGCCAGGTTCGGGGCGGGTACCATGATACCCATACCCGTCCAGTTGCAGGTTAGGAAGGGGTGTCCCGGATTACTGATTATAATTTTTTTTATCCATACGAAACTATTATTTGAGGTTGGATAATCGTTATCTCAAATTTTAGGGGTGTCCCGGGACACCCCTAATGATCCATGTATCCGCCACTGGATCCAACAATATGGTATTTCCCTACCATTAACAGGTGACTTGGATCCAACAATCTAGTATTTGGAATATCCTCAGGAAATACATCCTCACTGCTTTGAAAAACAACATCAGCATCAACATCAGTGACCTCTTCTTCGCCCATATCATACAGATCTCTAGGCTTAGTTTTTATAACAACTTGCCAGTTCGTATCGATTGGATCTCTTACGTAAAACACTTGCTGGGCTTGGGAAGCCATAATGAAAGGGTCTTTATCACTCAATCGATTTGAAAAGTTAACCAAGGTGAAACCCAGTTCATCACACTTCAACCCTCTACCAGTTGATACCCAATCACATCTGAACAAGACTACCTTATTTCCGGCATTGAAATCCAATTCCAATATATCTTCAATAATGCCATAATAACTTACGTCGCTATAGATTGGATTATGATCTCTAGCACTAGCAAAACTTTGGGTGGTTGCAGTTACCATCACTCCACAGTTTTGTGTTTTCCTGGTTTTCTCCAACTCACGCGTGTGAAACCTGAAACCATTGATGATGAACCCCTTAAAGCTTTTGGCGACACTATTTGGTGGTCGTGCCAAACGTTTCAACTCCCGTAGCTTTTCTGGAGATATATTCAGATTGTCTCCATATACCTGAACGTCAAAAGTGGATCTAGAACTATGATACAATATATATATATGTATGATGAAAGACCCATAAGAGATTGTATAAACACTATAACACACCTTCTGGGCAAACCAAGGTTGAAAAGTGGAATTGTGAAGCACTTGAACGGCATGAGGTGTTTTACGTGGGTATTGACTTTTTAACAAACTCAAGTGTTCCCTGTAAAACAAAAGAACAAACATTGGAATACAAAACATCTAAACTACGAATAAATAAGCAAAAGGATATGTATGATTCTTACTCAATAAAAACGGCTACGTCATTGCAGTTCGTGAGCACATAGTGATGTGCTTTGGCTAGAAGTTCGTTACCCAAATCAACAATATCCTCATGCAATATAGAGCGGCCAATCTTTGGAAAGATTGTTGATGCATCTTGTGTACCATTCTCAGAATCTAAGTTATCATCATTCCTCGATGGGCGATTTGATCGTGTCTCAACTCCATGTAAATATTTTGAGCAAAATGTTAAACACTCTTCCGCAATATATCCATTTGCAATAGAACCTTCTGGCTTAGCTTTATTACCAACATATGACTTCAATGTGGATAAGAACCTATATAAATTTGTTGACAACAATTAGAAGAGAACATATGCCAAATTTACTAAATGCAGTAAAATCAGTACATAAAATCAATAAGAATAGAACATACCGCTCAACTGGATACATCCGTCGTGCTTGTACTGGCCCGCCTAATTTAGCTTCATATGTCAAATGAATAGTCAAGTGGATCATGATGTCAAAAAATGATGGAGGGAAGATCCTTTCTAAATGGCATAGAGTGTCAGCAATCTGTGCTTCTAAATTATTCAAGTTCTCTAACTGACCAACCTTTGAGCACAATTCCTTGAAGAAAGAGCATAATAGTATCAGTGGCTTGCTAATTGATCTAGGCAATATTCTTCTTAATGCCAAAGGAAGAATCTGCTGCATCAAAATATGGCTATCGTGACTTTTTAGACCATAAATTTTGCGCTGCTTTAAGTTCACACATCTAGCTATGTTACCAGCATAGCCATCAGGTACTTTAACACTCTTTAACACCTTAAAGAAAGTATCCTTCTCCTTAGTATTGAGCCTGAAAGTTGCTATAGGTACACGTAACTTGCCAGAAACATGCCTTGTCGGATGTAGATTTCTTCTTATCCCCATTAATTGCATGTCTAATCGAGAGTTGACATTATCCTTTGATCTCCCATTGACATTGAGCAATGTCCAAAGAATGTTATCACAAACGTTCTTTTCGATATGCATAACATCTAAGTTATGCCTCAGAATATTGTCCTTCCAATATGGTAGTTCAAAGAATATACTACACTTTTTCCAACTATGAGGTAAAGGATCATTCTCGCTCGACTTACCAAATATAACTTGTTTACCTTCAAGCTCCTGTAAGACCTCTGATCCAGACAATGGTTTAGGAGCATCTCTGAATTCTTGGGTATTGTCAAAAGATTCCTTATATCTTTGAAACACATGATTAGCATGGAGAAATCTTCGATGACCCAAGTAACAGAACTTTCTACCATGCCTCAACCACTTGGAGTGAGTGTACTTATGACAAGAAGGACATGCCAAATGACCTTTGGTGCTCCAACCAGATAACATTGCATAACCTGGAAAGTCACTGATAGTCCACAACACAGCTGCCCTCATTCTAAAATTTTGCTTCAAAGATGCATCATAAGTCTCTATACCTTCATTCCATAAGTTTTGTAGCTCTTCAATCAAAGGTTGCAGATATACATCAATGTCGTTCCCAGGAGATGAAGGTCCTTGAATGAGTAAAGATAAAAACATGTATGGTTGTTTCATATATAACCAAGGAGGCAAGTTATAAGCCATTAAAACAACTGGCCATGTGCTGTGTGATGAAGTCATTGACCGAAATGGATTAAAACCATCAGCAGCTAATCCCAATCTAACATTGCGAGGTTCAGAAGCAAAATCCTGATGTATGAAGTCAAAAGTTTTCCAGGCAGGAGAATCCGCAGGATGCCTTAAGTTTCCATCATTTGTACGACTTTCTTTATGCCAACGCATGAAGGAAGCTGTATCTGAGGACATAAACAACCTCTGCAGTCTCTTTCCTATAGGAAAGTACCAAAGTTTCTTAATAGGAATGTTCTTTTTCTTTTTCCTTGAAGAACCAACAGTATCACTTTCTGGGGCTTTCCATCTATCAGCTCCACAAACAAGACACTTAGACTCACTTTCATGCTCTTTCCAAAACAACATGCAATCATTAGGACAAGCCTCAATCGTTTGATAGCTGAGACCTAAATCTGATATGAGTTTATGTACCTCATAGTAAGATTCTGGTAAAGTTGCTCCCTCTGGAAGTACTTCTGTCAAAAGTTCTAACAGTTTGCTGAATGAGTTGATGGACCACCTTCCAAGACACTTTAGTTGAAACAACCTGATGATAAAAGAAAGCTTGGAACTTGAACACCCCGGATAGAGTTCGGTTTGATTTGCTTCCAATAACTTGAAAATCTTTTGAGCCTCATCATTCGGTTCTTCTTCTGATACTCCTGAATCGACACCCATGATTATATCATTCAACAAATCGTCCACACCAGTATTTGTATCTGTATGGCCTTGTCCTGAAGTATCCACGGGAGATGAGGCATGAAATGTACTCTCCCCATGAAAAATCCAATGAGTGTAATTGGGAATAAATCCAACACATATTAAGTGATTCTCTACTTCACTTTGAGATAGCCAATAACGATTCCAACAATTCTTACATGGACACAGAATTTTACCATCTTGAGAACATGGTGAACCAAATGCCAGTGCAAGAAAATTTTTTATGCCATTCTGATATTCATTGCTAGTTCTTGGCTTATTCATCCAACTTTTATTCATCTTGAGCACCTACCAACAACAAAATCAATGTAAATTCAGCACCTACCAACTTTTATCCTTCGAAACAAATTGGTATACAATCAAATGTCAACATTAACATTGCCCCAAATAAAAAATTCAACACTTAAGTGAATCAGATTGGTATACTATCACCTATTCATCAAGGTAGCAGCACATGAAACTGTGAAGACGCACCTGAGTCAATTCGGTTCAGAGCAACTCTGTTCTTCTCCTCGTTTCCAGATTTGAAGTTTAGCAGCAACAACTCTGTTCTTCTCCTCGTGTCCAGATTTGAAGAATAGCAGCAACGAAAGAAATTGAAGAAGGAGCGAGGAATCGGGACTCAAAGCAAGAAATTGGGGCTTGTGCTTTTCTTGAACGGGAATGGGAAAGTCGAGAGAGAGGGTTTTTTGTCTGCGAAAGCCTGATTTTGGGTGAAATTGGGATCCCTTTTCTCGAAAGCCAGCAGAAGCTAATAGTTATATTTTATTGATTAATAGCCAATAGGGTATCATGCGTCTTTCTTTTTTTTTTCTTGGCCAAAACTATCAATCATAAACAAGCTTTTTTCCAAACGACATCGCATGTATTTAAACTTTGTTGACGTCAAAATAAACTTTAATTAACCAACAAAGAAGAAGTTCATAGATAAATAAAATAAATAAAGTAAAGAAGGAAGGGATAAGTGGCATTACTTTAATGTATTAGAGACCTTGATTTTTTCTTAAACGTGTGGTATATGTCTGCTTATCATTTGTCTCTAGAATATATGAATAAAATATAGAAGGTTGTTCATAATAATTCGTTAAAAATGAAATTGGAAAAGTTAGAAAATAATCATACTAGAAACAAATACTAATATCTATTGGGACATATTTTCTATTTGTCATCTATAATGTATTCTAACGGCATAAGCTAATATTTATAGAGACAAATTATGCATTTGTCGTATATAAAGAACTTTTAGAAACATATAATTATCTTTATAGAGACAATTAGTATATCAGTCATATAAACTACATTTTAAGAGACAAATAAAATATATGTCTCAATATTTAGTCACTATAGCTCATTTTTCTTGTAGTGCATATCTGCAAAAGCATCAACAATTTCTTCCCAAAGAGCATTGCAGGTAAATGTAACAAATAAATCTGGGTTACCATAATGTTGACAGGTTGCCATGGCATCATGATATAGTTGCTGCATATATCTTGGTCCTCCTGTATAAGATGATGGCATTATAATTCTTCCAAGTTTTTCTCCATCCATGTCTCCCTTTGCAAATGCATCCTGCAACCCCTGATAAACTTCTGCTCTTAAATCTTTTTGATGAGTTCTAAGAAATGCCAGGCGATTGAGTTCAATTGTTGAAAATGCATCAACACAGTAATGTTGCAATGCCTTGCCACTTTGAACCAGTGTATGCCCCTCATTCAATCGATACTGAAGTCTAAAAGCATAATACTCTTTTTGAGTAACAAATTTTCTGCGCATTGATGCTGGGCAAAAGGAGGCATTATAAGATATTTGAGGATGAAACCCATCTTCTCCGTACGGGAATAGCAATGGGAAGTGAAGAGCCTCGAATTTTGGGTTGAGGCTTGTTATACGTTTCAGCTCTTCTCCTCGATGGTCAACAATGATATCTCTATCCTCCCTATCTGCAACAAAATCACCAGGTATTAAGGCTGCAATATCAGAGCTAGTTGGCAAGTCATATTGTCGATTCCTACTTTTGATCCCAAAGATTTTGAGTCGGAGATTTGGTGTGGAAGAAAGCTGGAGATCTTGTCGAATGCGCCTAAATGTTCTGACCAACTCGTTGTTTTCATCAAGCATTCGAAGCAAACTTGCAAGTAACTCAGGCAGCAAGACTTCCTCTCGAGATGCGAAGTTTGCAAGTCTATTGTTAACCTCATTTTCAGGTTCAAATATATATAGCTGAGCAAACTTGGGCCTATTTCCATCAACTGGAAGTAAGGATCCAATCCTATGGTAATTCTCACCACAAATAACCATCGAATAAGGTCCTCTTGTTGTCAAAGAGCGTGGATCCAGTTTGGCTCCAAAAGATGTGAAACGCAAAGAACCATTGTAGGGTCTAATGTTGTCTCTAAAATGCTTTGACATTGCACCTCCATTAAGATCCAACAGCTGAGCAAGTAATGGAGGGGGTGGCTTTAACAGGGGAATGCAAACTATTCCTTTATGACAACAAAGACTATACACAGGATTTAAGGATTTCATGTGTCGATCCAATCGTTCAGCATACCAAAAAAAAGCACCACAGAACTGACATACACAGTCAGGTTTTCCAACGCTCAGCCTATCATTGTGCAATGGCTTCCTTGCAGTTGGGACATCAGCTGATGCTTTCTTTGCTTTTTGATATTGACGATCATTTGTAGCTAAACTGCAAGATGCCTCATCACCAACCATTTCTGTATAAGGATCTGGAGGAACGAACTCAATGTTGTGACCATTTGTCAACTTTGAAATTTCCCCTAAGAGAATGAACGGCAGGCTTCTCAATCTCTTGTTTACTCTGGTGTTATCCACGTTCATATCTGTAAAGCTTTGTGTTGGATTCCTGGAGGATTCGATTGTGAAAGAAGTGTCACCTCTCTTTCGCCTCAACAGGTTGGAAGTCGCTCTCTTCTTTCTAGGTGTCATTCTGATTACATGAAGTAAATGTTTGATATCCAGTCAGACTTTAATGAGCCAAAAACAAAAGTTCAATAACTGCAAACTTCAGTGTTCTGTCTTGGTCAGACAGACAAAGAAGAGGATCCAAATCATTTAAAGAGGTTCCATTAATGTGTAACTGAAGAATAACGAATACAGACATGCTTAACTGTATCTGATGACGTGGTCTATATCACCAATGATGAGTGTCTCTGACTTGTAGCTCCAAACAGCTGATCATAAGGTCTTACCTTGCTGTATACTCCAGCTAGCTGATACTCCACTAAAGGGAAAAAGTCGACACAAACAGAATTACTTGCTGAACACAGGAGCAAAAACCAGAGGGCAAAGAGAAAGTTGAAGGTCCATTGACGAAATCTCTTTGATATCTGATGTGTTCCTTGATAAGATATTATACAATCAATATATAATTTTATATCAGGTGTTTAATCTCTATCCAAGTAGTCATTGTGACTGCTGGTTCTGTAACCAAGGGTAAACAATGATGAAATTTGCATTTAATGCTTTAGATTTTGGGCACATAATTAACCCAAATTATTTAAATCTTGCAACCCAAAAGATTCCTTTTAATATTACCACATGTCTGCTAACCATTACTAATCTCGCCTGTTCTTATCATATTTTTCTTGTGGACAATGCTTACTCTTTCCCATCACATGATGTAAAGAACATTTTTGTGATATTTGCATATACATACAGTTAAGACATAAATGTAAAACATAGGCACCTTAGATAAAAACTATATTCCTTGATAATACATAAAAACTGCTGAGCATTCACATTCTACAAAAGAGGGACCAAAAGGCCAGAATCTTGCCCACACTGGGGTCACAACATTTCAGGTGTCCAAACTGACCACCCTGATTTTACACAGAAAATTACATGCACTTAAAACTTACACCTCATAAACAGATACCCGAAGTACCATTAGTTTTGTCTAGAAACCGACAACATAATTTCCACAAAGTTGCCAAAATTAGCCAAGAAAGGCAACAACAAAGTTGACAAACAGGTTCCCCAGAAGTTTACAAAAGAGCTGCAAACCCTCCAACCAGCACAACTTCAAACGATCAACAACATAATCATCCTGCCCACCATCAAAAGGACTTCTTCCTTGCAGCAAATCCAGCATTCACAAAAGGCAACCACCTTTCCTGCACCTAGCATAACTTAGATCCAGTAAATAACATAACCAATCAACATTCAAAACTAATAAATAACACACAAAGGGATCAGACTTGAATTTATACCCTAAGATTCATACAGGCGACGCTTAGCAGCGGAAGGCTTCCCAGGCACCCGGTGTGAATCTTGGTCAGCAAGCGAAAAAGGGGACGAACTTTCTGTTTGCTAATCATCCTGCCTCACATTAGGAGATCCAGTTCCAGAAGATTCTAGCTTCTCAATCTTCACCTTAGCCAGAGGTGATATCAAGCTGCATTGTCAAAGACCAAAACAATAAATTCCGACTGCACTATAACCATGACACAGACTCCTTGAAGACAAAGGCAAAACTGCCGAAGATGACTTGCTGATTTTACTCTGAGGAGTTTCAGAACCCAGCCCAGCAATGGATGACAATCCATGTACTCCCTGGCTAGTAGAACTCATCACATCTATACCATCACTCAGAGTTCCAGGAGTCCCCACTGCACCTTTCACAGCACCAACTGACTGGATATTAGAGACCTTCAAAGGATCTGCAATGGTAAAAGGAGCTGCCACAACAGTTGCCACTGGACCTGTTCCTTTTCCTTTCACATCAGCAACAGAAAGCAAAGGTGCAATAGATGAAACAGGAGGCAGTAAATTTGGCGAAATCACGTCGGACACAACAGCATTCTCCTTGATTGCCAAAGGAACTTGAGATGAACTGCAAGAGCCAAATGAGCACATAAGTATTTACCATGCAACAACAGAAACAAAGCACAGGTTAATGCATCAATACCAAATCAAGTAAAACAGTCCAAATGTGTTACTTGAGAGGCAACCCTGCTACCTGACCAATCTGGAATGTTGGATTCGTCCCTCCAGGTGACACTGAGTCAACAACCTTTTCCTTTCCTCTGGATGGGCTAGATTTTAAACAGCAAAGATTAATAATTAGAATAACCCAAATCAATACCTAGGTCCCCGTAATTAACTAACACAAACATAACAATAGAGCAAACAACGCTCACCTAGATGGTATGGCAGTAGAAGCTAAAGCTACGAAAGGTACACCTGGAGCAGGCAGCATCAACATTCCTTCCTGACCAGAATAGGACTGACTTTGGGTTTGGGACGAAGAAACACTGCCTGTGACATCTGGAACTCCTGTAAGACCAAGCACTGGGCCCTGAACATCACGGGGCATAACTCGGAAAACACGGAATTCACCCGTAGATACTCCACTTGACCCAACCATCGGAAGCTTGACCTCAAATTTGACAAACTGGCCGAGCAAAGCCTCAAGTTCAAGCGGCAACTGGCCAGACCTGTGAGGATATCTCTGGGCCAGCAGTTGGGCAGATGTGAGCACCACATTGTTCCCACACGGGCCGAAAATAATGAAAGGGGCCTCGTCAGTGGCATTACGCAGGGTCAATTGGATCTTGTAGCTAGAGACGACACAGTAAAATACAGAGACAATTCCATCAGGATAGGCGTGGGAGTGCAAACTAAAAAAAGTAGGCAAATTCTCTAAGACCTGACAGGCACACATTGAAATAAACAAAAACAACAACTAATGATCAGAAAAAACATACACCCAACTGTCACTTGCTGCTCAGTGATCTCCCAATGGTCAGGACACCAGTAGTTACCATTTTGCCACGTAGAACACTTTTTTCTGCACATGCTGCATGACATGTAATACCACGGGCTCCAGGACTCAACTGATCGGACTATACCACCGCAACGATGCTTTTCATCCTGAATATAAACATTGATAATCCTAGAAAGCAATAAACAAACATAAATAAATGGACAACCCGAAGACCATTCTAAAATCAAGAACTACATCAAAATGCAACTCACGACAGAAGCACCGCCATGGTGCAAATCAAGAAGCTCAGCTATGGTCCTGGTTCTCCGCTCAGCATCAGCAACAGCGTCCCCTGGGGTCGCAAACTTGACCGGCAAATCAACAACAGGAACTCTGGATCCACCAAAACTGTATAGATGGACACAAAAAAGTAAAGCAAACCAAAC